AAAGAGATAAAAATGAGATTGACGAATTAAATATCTCTTCTACACAGAAACAGTGGGGTTTGTAGGCAAATTGTTTAAGGCATTGGCAGATGGATCCTACAAGGCCAATAATGTGAAAATTCAAGGTGACGAGCCATGTCAAGATTATAATGGTTACGATGAAGACTATCATCGTCAGCGTGAACGACCTCGTTCAGACGATGAAGATGAACAAAGACGATATATCAAGCGCCGTCGTGACGATAATCACACAAGAGATGACCACACAAGGCGACATCAAGAAAGTCCGAGGAGAGATCGGCGTCAATTGTATCCATTGAGGGATGGGAACTTACAAGGACCGATGAACGGACGTGGTCCGTATGGAATGGGTCATCGAAATCACCCGCCTGAGTGGGGAATGCCTCCGCAAGGGATGTGGCCACCTCATTTTCCACCTATTCGTGGCGCTGGCTATCCGCCTGACTTTGAGCCGGGAATGTACATACCGGAGAATGGGGGGATGATGCCACCACCACACATGATGATGCCACATCCAATGAATGGACGTGGTCCATTTTACCCAATTGGAGGTCGTGGCAGCCGAGGAGGACGTGGTAATTATCATGCAGGACGAATTGGCAAGGAAGGCGAGATGAGCGAGCCCCCGAATGCAAAAACTACGCTACACGTTCGACATGTAGATCCCAAATATGTCAATATGACCATGCTCAGTCTCCATTTTTCAAAATTTGGTAATGTGGTGAATGTGCAAATGCGGCCTACTGCAAAGTGTGCCTTTGTTCAATACGCGACGGAAGAGGAGGCAAAAAAGGCATTCCACTCGCCTCTTCCAGTATGCAATAATCGATTCATATCTGTGAAATGGGCCAAACACGACGCACAAAGTCCTGAAGAAATTGGCGGTGAGCTGACCGAAAATGCGTTAAATGGTAAAGCAAGCGCACCTGCGAACAGTGAATCTAACGAGAAGAGTGCAGAAGGTAAAGAAGAGCCGAACAACGGATTGTCCGAGAGTAAT